TTATTAAATTTAGTCAAGTTTTTGTTAAGTTATTCTTGTTTAAAATTATAAAAAATTTTTATTATAAAAAATTTGCTAGGTAGGTTGTATGCCAGCTAGAAGGTAATTGATGGGGTAATAGCTATTAGTTGAATTCTAAAAATAGCAAAGGTACAACTAAATTGCTAGGGTGAGTGTCATTAAAATAATTAGTGTAGCACAACCCAAACACTGTAATACTAATTGCAATAAGTTCTAAGATCTTAATTAATCAATAAAATTCACAAGTGTATAAGCAATTTAAAAAAAAAAAAAATTTGCTTGATTTCTATTGACTCACCCTCATATATTATTTATTAATATATACACATAGTAATATATTTAAAACCTGCTTACTTTTTTGATATTTTTCTACATAAGCACATATCTCCCATTCGTTAATTGGTTCATGTACATGTTTAAAGCTTATATCTATTTCAAAATACAAGGAATCTGCCAAATATTTCATTTGATTCTCATAACCACATAGTATTAAATATTGGCCATTATTAAAAAAACCTAAAAAATAAATGATTAATATAAATATAAATTATATATAAAGATATAATCATATATAAATTTAAATAATTGTTACGAATAGATCTAATATAAGGATTATCTTTTTCATTCTGTTTTTGCTTTAAAAGCATGTATGCAACACCCATAATATCTTGACCATACGGATGTTCAGCATGATGACTTGTTGCAATCATATGCTCAATTTTAGATCGATTATTTAATAATGGGTGTAATTCCGGAAGTGGAACTCCTTTAAGAAATCGTTGTATCGATGTACCTAATAAATTTAAAATTAATATAGTATTAAAAAACTTATAGTGCAACCAAACCAAATTATATAATATTTTATAACTAGAATTAAATCACCAACCAAAAAAAAAATTTAAATCATGTAATTTAATACAATATAAATTATTATATAATGATAATTAAAAGTGAACATATAACTAGTTTGTTGAATATGTAAATGATATAAATTACATGATCTGAGACTTTTTAAATTCTACTAATGAACCTGCAGCTACTCATAAATATATTTTTGAAACATTTTACTCCAAAAAATAAAAAATTTAAAAATTTATTTCTTGCCAAATTAGAATTTAAAAATTATTGGTTTAAATTATATCACGATACTATCGGAAGCTGCCCTGAATGATAATAAAAATACATACGGGTAATTAATTTTTTTGCTGTTAAATCTAAGATATCCTCTGCTGCGATTATACTTTTTAAATCATTTTGAATGGCCACAGGTATTTTTGACAGTGGGGGTGGTGGATGATTGTGAACATATCATGATATAATTACAATATACGGACAATTTTCAAGATCTTCAGACACATAATACCAGAATTTGACAAGACATCCTGATTTTTCTTGAATTAATCCTTGAGCTACTTCATTACTTTTAGTAGTATGAATATAAGCTATATAAATATAAATTAATTAATTTTTGGAAATAATATATACAAAAATTAATAAACAATAAAAAAAGGGGGCTGGTAATCATACCCCCCACATTTGGTATTCATACCCCAAAAAAACAAAAAAAAAATTAAAATTTAAGCAAAGATATATCAATGCCTACCTAATCAAGCTCAATGAATTTTTTTTTATTTAAATTCTACTGATTCGTAAAATTCAAATAAAAAAAATTTTGTCAAATTTGGTCATGTGGTCGTCAAGATATCTTTGCTCAAAGTCAAAGAAAAATCAAAATGTCTATCAAAATAGAAGGTGCGCCAAATTATTTTTAAAACTCTGAGTGAAGATATCTCGACAACCACTTGATCAAACACAATGAAACTTTTTTACTTGAATTCTACAAGTTAGTAGAATTCAAATAAAAAAATTTTTATCATGTTTGATCAGGTGGTTGTTGAGATATCTTCACTCAAAATTTTAAAAATAATTTGGTGCAGCTTCTATTTTGATGGAAGTTTTTGATTGTTCTTTGACTTTGAACAAAGATATCCTGATGAACACATGACCAAATTTGACAATTTTTTTTTATCAAATTTTACGAATCTGTAGAATTCAAATAAAAAAATTTTCATCGAGTTTGATCAGGTGGCTGTCGAGATATCTTCACTCAAAGTTTTAAAAATAATTTGGCGCACCTTCTATTTTAATAGACATTTTGATTTTTCTTTGACTTTGAGCAAAGATATCTCGACGACCACATGACCAAATTCGACAAAATTTTTTTTATTTGAATTTTATGAATCTGTAGAATTTAAATAAAAAAAATTTATTGAGTTTGATTAGGTGGGCATCGATATATCTTTGCTTAGATTTTAATTTTTTTTTGTTTTTCTGGTGGATATGAATACCAAATGTGGGGGGTACGGTTACCAGCCTCCTAAAAAAATATATACGGCATTTTTTTGCTTGTACACTGTAAGGGTGAACTGTGTAGCAATGTCAAATAGAATCTGAAATCTAAATATTATATTAGTATTAATTAATATATTTGAGTTTTAACTATTAAATAATTTAATTTAATATAAATACTTCTCCAATAATTCCATCACTATAATATGTATGTTCGTGAAAGAGTTTTTTTAAGTATTCAACATTAATTCACCCAGATAAACTTTGATAACGATGGTCACGTTCACTATTTTTAAAATTTTCACAACCGATAAAATAAGTAGGAGTAGAAGTATCACCTTCTTGCTATAAACGATAATGATAATAATTTAAATTAATAAATTTTTATTAGGTATCGTCAATCAAAACATAATATGGTATATAGATTAAAAAAATCATTACACGAGATTAATTATAACATGGTATTGTAATAAACTAGACAATTAATCAATAACACCCCATGTCATAATTAATTTTTCATAATTTTTTTGTATGTATGTATATTTTAATTGATAATAGCTTAAATAATATAAAAACCTAATAATGAGATCTAAGTTTAGGCTTGCCATTACATCGAATACCAGTTTGAGGATAAATAAATCCGCATGGTACTTTATGTGCTGTAGCAAATGCACTAATAAAAAAAAAATTCAATATATGTTTATTTTTTTTTTTTTTTTTTTTTTTTTTTTTATAAATTGCTTATACGCTTGTAAATTTTATTGATTAATTAAGATCTTAGAACTTATTACAATTAGTATTACAGTGTTT